TGTAAGCACCATAGGAATGAAGAGGATCAAAATGACAATTAATACTCCACTTCTGAGAGTGCCTGTCTTAGTTTCTGAAGTTTATTCTCTGTACTACACTCTCACTTGACACAGCTCTGCATTCAACCCCTTTCATTCCCAGCTTGACCAAATCTTTCTGTAATCTCCTGCCTCCTACTTGCTTCAGTGAAGCCCTAATCCAGCTCAGCTATCAACCTGCACAAACAAGCAGCTCTCCAGCTGATCTCTTTGGCTCTGAGTGAGACTTTTTAGCTGTTTCTCCACTCTTTAACTCTTCTTCTTCTGCTTCCATTTGCTCTCCTTTCAGTCTGACTTGCACTAAGGTCTGTTTTTCCCCCAGGGCTCTCTGCTTCTGCTGATGTTCTGGGTCCATCACAAGGTCTTAGCAAACCTGGCAGTTTCTGCTAGACTAACAGCTGTCTTCATACTCCCATAGCTCAGGGGCTTCCTGGGGTCAGAAGCACATCACAAAGCAATGAATTTCATGACTCCCATGTGAAAAAATTACTGGCTTAAATGAAGTTAGAAGAAACCTTCTGGTCCAGAGGATGCAAGCCAACCTGCTGGGGTCCCACAGCTGAGCTGCTAAAATTTGGCCAAAGACAAAAAAATTCTACAGGAGATGGGATATACTTGAGGTGGGGCAGAGCAGTAAGTTATTGCTCCACACCTACTGAGTTTTCAGAATGTCCAAATGGCTCAGCTGAGCTGCAAGTGGTTGCTTCTTGTTTTTGGCTGGCCTCAGTTCCTCAGAGCATTGGAAGGAGGAGATGCAGACACGAGAAGTGTTTCCATCACAGAAAAACCCGAACTACATAATGTCTGGAACGATGGCTGATGGTGTCCAGGCTTGTCTGGGTTGGGGAGCTGGAGAACAGCTCTGGCGGCACTTATGTGAGTCCGGAGTGTCCTTTAGATGGCTCACTTGGAAGACAATAAAACTGATATTTAGCAGATTGCTGTCTCACACCTGAATTGCCAGAAAGGGGTACAACAGCCTTCCAGTGACAAAATCCTTTGGTGAGAAAAGGAGCTGTGAACTACAGTGATGGAGAAATAACTGTAACCAACCCGAAGGATTAGGAGACAACCGATTGCTGTCTCTACAATACTAGAAAATGCCTAAGCTCATAGACCCTTATTCTTTCCATGCCATTATTCCTTTGTCATCTTCTTAATCTGCACACAGTTGTTCTGTATTTCTTTTGGTATACTAGAAATACAAAAAATGCAAGAAAATTTCAAAAAGAAGAAAGCCCTCTAAATAGTTAATAAACATTTTTACCTTTATATTGTTTGTAAAATTTTAAGAAATATGCAGTGTAAAAATTGTAAAGATATCTCTTCTGCGAGCATAACTATAAAATCATGAACAGACGCTTGCATCAGGATTACTAATGTTTAAATTCTGTGATTTTCTACTGTAGCTACTAAATCGTGTAGCCATCACAAATGTCCCATAGCACTGACCTCATGATTCTCAGGACTCCACAAGCTGTAAGAAGAAACTCTTGTGAATAAAGCCTCCATACTCTCTGGAAAATCTGGAGGAGTTTTGTACAGGTGTGCAGTCTGTCTAAATACTGTTTAACACTATGCATCATGCTTAGTGGGTGATGTGAGAACAATAGCACATTCTACAATATAATTACTGTAGTTACAGAGCAGAGATCATTCCACATCAAATCCAACAAGTTATGAAATAACATCCACGTATTCTTAGTATGTTTATGTATGACATTACTGTTTTGAAGTCTAATTACTTCTTGCACATCCCTGTGTCTAAGCTCTGTATAGTGTGAAATTAAAGTCTTTTTAGACCATGGTGAGCTTTTATTTCTGGTTTGAAATCCATACCGCCTTTGCTGGTAGGGATGCTCTTACTGCAGCCTCAGGAGGCTCCTGGAAAGCAAGCAATACTGTTTTCTTCTGTAGGAGCAAGGAACCAGCTCGGAAGGGGTTAAGTGGCTGGAGACCAGATGCAGCTGGGCCCTGTTAATCTGCAGGGACCAGCTGCTTTGTATAAAAAAGAAGACAAGAAACAGAGTGGCTAGGGCTGGGGGAAAGCTGGGGGTATTGAATTGCTTATGTTCTGGGAAAGGGAACGAGTGTTTGCATTTCAGATGCTCGGTGCTCTGGAAGAGCAAGAAGAGCTCTGTTGGTATTTGGGTTTGGTTGGGGAAGCTGCTGTTGCTGGTGGTGACTGACAGTCCACCCCGGGTACTGGCTTTTAGTGCTCAGGTGCTCCTGAAATTATGGCTTGCAGGGTAGAAGCCCAGAGTAACTGAGCAAGACAGGTGTAATAGGCTGCAAACCAGCCTTGGTTTCATTTGAATGCTTTTGAAAAATGGAAGAAGATTAATGGAAGCCTCAGCACCTTTTGGATTCCTGATGCACAAGCCAGGGTGACTCCTTTCTTACTTAGCAAGTTCTCAAGCAAAGCAACTTCTGTTTCTCAAACATAATAAATAACTTCATCTGCTCCAATGTGCATCATTGCAAGGATTGTACCCGTGTATGCTACATCAGCATCATTCACTGTAGCACCTGCCTGTGACAAATGGGGTGTAGGAAGAAAGCCCCCAAGTAGTTTTCACTATATCTTTTAAGTATTAATTCTGAGCAAGTTCACTGTATCTGCTTACTGTATGCTTTGAATGAAATCTAGGCAGAAGTTGAATTGCATAATACTATGTACAGAGCTATTGAAATATATTTAGTGATTCCATTAGAAATCTGCTGTTGAGCAAGGCAGAGCATATGGAGAGAAGTTGGTGAAAACCCGATTAAACATTTATATGGAGCATATTTTGATTTAACTTGCATAAATAATTCATTATTTTTGTTTTCTTGTTTTCTTTCTTTCAAAACCACCCTTTTCTGCATCTACTGTGCTAAAAATAATGCTACCCTATCTGCAATAGGTAAGCAGGGGAGCGAGTGGGTACATTGTATGTACCCATCTATGCCAGAGGCTGCCCTCTCTCAGGTTTGATAGGCCCGCATTCTTTAGAGAAACAAAATGCTTTATTTCTGTCAAATCCACAGTAGTTTTCTTTTGTCCCTACATATAGCAAAGTAGCAATGTTCCAAGGGCAGTAATTATTATGCAGAAGTGAAGTTATGCTGGGAGTCCAGATCAACAGGAGAATTTCCCAAAGCTGAATGGGATTGCAGCTCAGATATCAGATGACTGATCTATTTTCTAAACCGAGTAACAGTTTTAAAGGGAGATTCATTTCTGAACTTTGCAAAGTCTGGGTTTGATATTCTAGTTCAACCTCAGTTTTTGTACTCTGCTGGGATTCAAGGTCTGATTTGCAATAACACTGAAGGTCTTTTATGACTTCTTGATATTAATAATGTGGTATAAAGTAGGTCTAAATCCTACTTTAAGGCCCCCTCTTGCCATTTAATATATGAGGGAATTCAAGCTCCTTCTTTCAGAGTTGATCTGAGGGAGCATTCAGGCACCCCAAAGCACAGATTTTCCTCTGAAACTCCTGTGAACGAGGTCTTTCACAAAAACTGCTTCTCTTTTCCCTCCTACTGAGTTTCAGAGTTCAAACGCTGGCAATTTCCAGTGCCATCTTTCCTTGTCTCCTCATTACGAGTGCGATTTCATTACCTGTGGAACAACCAGCGCTCACTCACCGCCATCGGCGCTGTCCCCAGAGCCCTCCTGTGCTTATGCCACTTGACCCAACAGCGTGCCTCTCCTCCATGGCACATGGGAATGTGCATCTCCACATCATTATCAGCAAATGGGGCTGCTGCGGGGTCATTAGCACAGAAGAGAGTCGCACTTTTTTCTGTACAAGGAGTGTTTCCTTGCAAGCTTTGCATGACTGTTGCTATCCTGTGAACCCTGAGTCCTGCAACCCTATGGCATTGGTCAGTGTGGTTCAGCAGGGAATTAAATTACAAATTATTGGGAGAGAGGCTGTCAGAGTCTTTTGAAACAGAAATATCATGTCATAAATGGATCATGCTATGTCAAGTCTTAAAGGGCCTTGTGAAGCCGCTCAGATAAAAGCTTCTGATAGTGTTAGCTTGCCAATGTATTAATCATTATGTGGTGAAGCATAATCCACTCCAACTCTGAGAAGCTCTGCAGAGTGATGCTGGTATTTTAGCCACTCTGTGGACCGATGCTTCTGCCTTCTATGAAAGCCGGCTGTTAAACTGCAGGAGTGTTCTCTAACAAAAAATAATACTCCCAGCTTGTGGTTTTGACAGCTACATTTCATTTCTGTCCTCTCCCCAACCTGCTGGGAGAGGCTGCATGCCATGAGCTAGAGCAGTGCAGGAGGGAACTCGGTGCTACCAGCCTATGATGGGGCAGGGCAGTGCAAGTAGCAGCTCAGTGCCATGAGCTGCAGCAGGGTGCGTGCAGGTAGCAGCCACCAGGTTCATGCCACTGGGAGATGCCGTGGTAGCGACAGCATGTGGGGGAAGCGATGCTGGTGGTGAATTTCATTAAAAATCTGAGATGTCTATGCACACAGCCTTATTCACAGTTTTTTCTGTATTGTGATTTTAGGATATAACAAGGTGTTAACAAGAAAAACATGTTTTCATTAAAGCTGTATACAAAATGTATCTTTGCCCTGAGCCCTTCTGTGTGTTTATTTTTCTGAAACAGTCTGTTCCTTAAAGAAACAAACAAAAACTGAAGCAGGGAAAGAAACTTTTACTTTCTGTTTCCACCCCCTTTGGTTCCCACCCAGGGCCAGCCGTGGGCTGCCAGGTGGGTTGGGCTGGCCAAGGTTAGTGCCTTGCCTTGCCTCAGCTCACCTGTGGGTCTCATTTCGTTAAGCTGCTGTAAACATTTGCTCTGTTTTCCTTCTCAAAGTGAAAACACAGTAAAAATAATGGCTGCCATAAATACTGCACTAAACACTTTCTAAAAGGTTATAGTTCGCAGCTGTGAGGTCGCTGCCCTCCGATTATGATGCAGCAGTGAGGCAGGATGCCTGTCCTCGCCCAAACAGGGAATGCATTGCCTGCCCACTGTGCTGCCAACATTTCAGCTCCGTGGCTCAGCACAGGGAAGTCTTGGGGTCTGATAGAGGATGCCAACCTGCTATTGCTTCTTCTGTATTGTCTGTGCATCCCATCAGTGCCTGCACATATATGTCATTCCTGCATCCCATCATGTCCATAAGCTGTGTGTAGCAACTCATTGAGGAGGGTGACTGGGAAAGCAAAATGGGGGGAGAGAAGCAGAAGATGAGTTCAGCTGTGGTGGAGGAGGGATGCAGAGGATGTGTGAAAGACAGCAAAAAAATAAGCTTACAGCATTTATGGGCATTGGAAAGAGGGGGGCACATCAGCTGCCTAAGGGATGCAACAGACTAACAACACAGCAAGGAATGTAGGAGAACAGAGGTAATACAACATGGAAAAATAGAGATACAAAACTACAGGAACTGGAATTTTGCTGTAACATTTGCTGATGTGCAGTGAAGAGAAAAAGGAATTAAAACTGGAATTTCAACAATGAATAGATTTAAAAAGTGGTAGGCTGCAGTTACAAACCTAAGAAAAATATCTACTGGACTAAGCTGGGTTTCATAAAGAGTCATCTAAATGCATGTCAGTGGAGAATGGGTGTTTACCTTCTGCTGAGCAGGCAATGTGTGATGGGTGAGACCTTAACCTTCCTTCTCACTGAGATTTCCTGGGCTAATTCCCTCCTTACCTGTCCAGGTAAAACTGCATTAAAGCCAAGCCATTTGGGACCAGGAACAGGAGCTATAGGCTTGTGGGAGAAGAGGAATAAGGTTGGACCTAAGGGGTGATGCTTGTGGCTGTTTGTATTTGTATGTCTGTATCTACAACTGTGAACAAACTCTCTGTTACGATGTGACAGCAGTTAAGACAACCTGTTTCATCCCATACTCCTGAAGCATTAAGAATCCTTCTGGCGTATGTGCTGCACTCAATCTGTTACAGGATGGATTTTCTCATTTTTTCCTATTTTTTAAGTGTAGGTACATCAGATTTAGGCAGACTTTCCCATTCTGTCCTCAGTCTTAAAGTCGTCTTTGTGATTATAAGAATGTATGGAAAGGCTTTGGTTTTTCTCAGATTTTAAGAGCATGAAGCTAAAATCATATCAGTCCAAAAAAATAAATGAACACTCACTCTCTCTTGATTATGAAGATTGACCATTAAAACCATAAGACCTGCTGTGAGATGGGCCCTCAACTAGATGTGCTGCCAACTTAGACCCATGGAGCCACCCATGCCCTGGGGAGACTTCCCATCATTTGGAGAGCACAAGTGGGGCTGTGCACTTTTCTGATATTAAAGGCCCTTACATTCACAGTCTGCTATAATAAAGCAGAAGGCAGAGAACAGAAAGCTACATGCTGAGATCAGTCTGGTGAGGACTGTGAGCATTGACCTGGTTCTTGAATATACTGCAGGACCTCAGGTTTGTTCCTGATCACTTAGCCTGCTTTCCAGCTGCCGTGGTTTTTATTCCCGCTCCATAGATTTTGCTGGAGAAAAGCAATGGAGAGCGTTTGGGGATAGTTTGGTCCTTACGAAACTAGCTGGAAATGGTGCAGCCACAGTCTGTGTCCCAAGCAAGAAATTCACCCTGGCTAGAGTTTTACATTCAGTTTGGGAATTAATTCAGTACTTCTGCCTTTTGCATACACTACTGGTTTGGAGAAAGGAAGAAAAGGAATACTTGTTGCCAGGTTACTATTGTAAGTGGGCACATGAAAAGTAGTTTTAATCCATGCTTAGTTTAGCTGGCAACTATCTTTGTCATCTGCTTGGAAGGCACTTAATGAGAACATGGAAAAGAGTAGCCTTGTACCTTGTAGCAAGCAAGGAGACAGAACTGAGGGGTACATTACCACTCCCATCTGAAATGCATGGGGTGAAGCTGCATAAAATTTAAACCAATCAGTGTGCATGATGTTACTTGCACTTGAGGACACACTGTTGCTACATAGTGCTTATTTTTTCAGATCCATTAGCACTGCACTTTCTTGGAATGTTTTATTCAAGAATTAAGGGAATACTTTCCCTTTGCTTTGTGTTTATTACTTAACCTTGATATTCTGAACCTTTATTGCTTAACCTTGGGAAACCAGATTGGTTATACCTTCCAGAAGTAGGTGGTTGCAATGTGTGAGGCACACAGCTGTCGTCAGTCTGTCTGTCTGCACAGGGCTTGGGAACTATTAAGGCTCTCAGATCTTTCCCCCCACGCCACCGTGGCGCGGGAGTAATCGGAGGTGTGCAGTGATGTTTCTCCTCCTTTGCCCTCCTTCACCACCAGAATTAGCAGAACGACTGGGCTTTGCTCAAGACTTCTAAGCTTTGACTTTTGTCTTTTTCTCCCTCAAAAAGGTCTGTCTAAATAATTCTCTCCAGAGAAATTACCTGCACTGGGTGAGCCCAGATCTTGCTTTGCTTTTATTTCTAAGACTGCAAATGCCTTTTTTGCAGCTGGCAGTAATCATTGCAACAATGAAAGAAGGGTCCACTCTTGCCAACCTCTACCATAGTGTCAAGAGAAGCTCTTCTGTATTTCATAAATTATGTTGGGTGTAGAGTAGGAGAGCCAGTACAGAATGTGATACTCTGGGAGTCACTGACAGCCTATACATGGTAGAACAGCACCGAGCCTGTACCCAGATGTACCTGAGGGATGTCCCATGGGACCAGCACCCAGCAGAGCAGGATGGAAAAGGCAGTATGGCTGATAAGCCTTCAAACATCAAATAAAAGGACTCATGTAAAGCTTTTCTGCAAGTAAGAGTCTTCATTATCTTCTGCAGTTCATCTGTATTCTGGGGAAAAACTTTTTCTTGAAAGTACAGTTCCTCTTGCCTAATATCGGCTATGTAAGATGACAGTGATAGTTGTGTAGTTAGCTAATCTAACCCATTATTTACATTCTTTCTATAGGCATTAGATAGATATAGTCATTTCTTGCAATATTTCATTCCTTAAAACAGTGAGGTCTCTGATGTTGCCTGAAAGAGCATGCTCAGTGGACAGGAATTGAACTCAGGTGTATCTTCAGACATCTAGAGTGAGTTGATCTGAATCTTGCTCTTAGAGCCTGTCTCAGTACATAATGTGCAGTTACAGTCCCCTGGCTTTTGCCTTTATCACTGGCTTTTCCTCTGAATGTTTAAAAAAAAGAATCACTCATGGAGAAGATGAGGAGGGGAGGGGAGAGCAGGGGAAGGGTGGGGAGGGGAGGGGAATGGAAGGGAGGGGAGGGGAATGGAAGAGAGGGGAGGGGAAGGGAGGGGAGGGGAAGGAAGAGGAGAGGAGAGGAGAAGAGAGGAGAGGAGAGGAGAGGAGAGGAGAGGAGAAGCCATGGAAAATGTTGAGAATGAGACAGTAGGGGGTGGTGGGACGTTCCCTAGTGGCACTGCCCATGTGGCTGTAAGTCCAGTGGCTCCCACATTCATGCAGGTATTGCTTCTGAGCTTGGTACATCCATGACTATTGGTGATATGCAAAGCAGTGTGCTGGCTGCTCTGAGCTGTCCAGGAAGGAACAGATCACTGCTCCTTGAGACAGCTTTTTTATCTGCATGCCTGACAGCCAGCATCCTTGTACATCCCCTCTTAAAACATTCCTTCATTTACAGGAAATGCCAATGTTTTGTATTGAAACAGCTGGCCAATTCAAACCAACTCGCTATTTTAACTGCTATTGGGTTAAAGTAGTAACTAATGACAAATAGCGTTCAATACATGTCTAAAAATAAAATATTTTATTGTTCTCTACTTCAAGTATAACCAACATTTCTTTGTGATCAACTAAATGACTTTTGTTGTAGGAATTATTACTGGGGCAATTTCCACACATTGTTACAAACAGACTAACCCAATGCCTACAATTTAAATAAATCAAGCCAGATGAGAAGGTTCAAATACATGACACAAACTTGACAAAACAGCAACATGACATAAAGGGATGCTGTAATGTCTCCATGATAATGGTTGCAAGGGATTCTGTATGCGAAATGTAAAAGACCTCTTTTCTGTATGCTGCCATATGTCCACTGCAATTTGTGGACATATGGACGTAGGACTCTCTCATGTGTAATGTATATCACACAGACAAAAATAAAGCAGGAGCAAAGGGCTAATATCATGAACACTGTTTAAAGGACAAATTAAAGTGTTTGTTGTGAAGAAAACATGGGTGTACTAATTAATAGCTCAAGAATACTTACTGGCAGTGGCTGTGACAGCCTCAAGTTTTTGATAGGTTTAAATAAAAGACTAAGCTGCACAGAACTAAATTAGACTTTAAATCTAATTGTGTAGATAAAGTCTCCTTTTGGGGGAAATGCTATGGCTGATCTTTTAAATTGCACTTTGCAGTGTGACTTAATGTATCTGCAAGTTTATATGTAATGCTAGTCTTTATTGCTTTCTGCCACTTCTCACTGGATGGGAGAGTGGGGTTTCAAGCAAAAAGGACAAGTAAGAGAGCTCATAACAAGTTTTCATGTTACTGAAAATATTTGGAACACAAATTTGATTTCCTGGCCAACAGGGAAGAGATAATGTACATCGAGTGATACATACTTGTTTTGCTTTTGTTCCTCTTGAAAGCAGAAGTGGCCTGTTAGATCTTGCTTTGCCAACAAACAAAATGGTGTAGGCTTAACCCTCACCTCTTTGAGAATCAGGGATGATCTATGTCAAAGCTGGTGCCCTCTTCACTCAGTAAAGTCAGCCATTTGTGTCATCTTGCTGAGAGCTGCAGGCTGAAGAAAAGGGTAAGAAAGACTACCTGACACCCAGAAAGAATGGCAAACAGGCTTGCGAGTTAAGTACGAACAGTATCACAGAGCGTGCTACCTCACTCTATTATCTTAAGGATTAGCTTTAAATTTTCTCTTTTGCTTTGCAAGCAGGGCTGGAAAACGACTCTAAGTTAGGGAAGGACAAAAGGATTTTTATGGCAGATAGAAGCTGTACCCTGAATATTAAGAGCACAAGTGAGATCTGCAGCTAATGTGTGCACAGCAACTTGCTTCCACAGGAGAGACACCAATTTCTCCCCCAGAGAGATTAATCTCCTCATAGATGAGTCATTCGAGCATAAAGAAATATTCTTTGGACATGGTGCACCAAATGGAAGCCCATACATCAGACAATGATGGTGTATTATATTGAGATGTTTATAGGATTGGGACATGCCAGCTGGGATGTGCAGCTTTAAGGGAATAAAAAAAAAAAAAAAGAAAGAAAAGAAAGGATTTAAGGTGGATCTGCAAAGAAAATCATTCAGCCAACACTACAAATGAGCATACATTCACTTCTCACCTTGTATGTATTTCCAGAGAAAGGGAGATATCTGTTCTTACGGAAAATATTTACTCAGATTGGTATCTTGGCTTTTTTCAGCTACATATTCCAACCTTTGTGACAAAATAATAGGATTGCTGCTCCTTGTGAGAGCTATACAACGAGGAGCATGCTCTGGCCAGGCCTCACATCATTGCTGTAACTCAGATCCTTTCTGATATTGTTATGTTAATAGCAGTCATACTGACAGTTTCTATAATTCCTGCAAAGGCTGTGAACAACTGCAATCTGTCAAGGTTTTCTGAATACATTTTTGGAGAGCAGGTTGTTAACAAGTATTCAGAGGCATGAACTGTTAACTTTTAGCCTGGAGAAGGTAAGAGAAATGGTGTAGGTTTTCTTCCTTCTGCAACTCTCCTGAGCATCACATAGTGTAAGCCTATCAGCTTACTATTAAAACATAATGGACTCGTAAATCTTGACCTACAAATCGATGAAGGTACATACTGCTTGGTGATCGCCTTTATTCATTTGACAGAATACCACTGATCGCAGCTTTCTTGCATTACCAGTCCATGGGTGGAGGAGCACTGGTTAAAGCGAGCTTTCTTTCAAATCAATGGGAGCACTTCAAGCATGCTTCCTATTTCTGCAAGTAAGTATATAGATGCGCTAAGTAAATTGCTATTAATTATTCTGTGCATAATTAACTTCCTCTGCACTTAGGCAGCACACTTCCCCACGTAGACAGACAGAAGCCTTGACAAGCAGAGTGATGTATTTCAAAAATTGTACTTAAAGGCTTTCCCAGCCTCAGAGGGTCGATGTGCTCCTGAGTTGTGGCTCTACCAGTTCACTTCAGGAAGGGGTAGGCAGGTGCTGCATGTCTATGTCTGAAACGGCACTGGGGCAATCTAGAATCACAGACAGCCTCACAAACACACCTGCACAGTGAGCTGGGAGGGCACAGGTGTAAAACTGCTAGGGGTATATATAAGAATATGCCTTTTTCACAGAATCCCAGGATGGCTGAGGTTGGCAGGGACCTCTGGAGCCACATGCCCACCCCCTGCTCCAGCAGAAACACCCAGAGCAGTGGGCCCAAGTTCATGGCCAAGCGGCTTCTGGAGGTCTCCAAGAAGACCCTCTGGGCGACCTGTGCCAGTGCTCAAGCACTGCACAGCACAGCAGTGCTGTCTAGTGTTCAGAGGGAGCCCCTGTGCTTCGGTTTGTGCCCATGGCCTCTTGTCCTGGCACCAGGCACCACTGAACAGAGCCTGGATCCACCATCTCTGCACCTTCCCTTTGGGAATTTACACATATTTTTAAGATTCCTTCTCTCTGCTGAACAGTCCCACCTCTCAGCTTTTCCTCATGGGAGAGTGCTCCAGTCCCTTCATCATCTTCACAGCCTGCTGGACTCTCTCTAGAGCTCCATTTTCTTCACACTTTTCCTGCAGAGAAAGTATTTCTTAGCCCTCTCATAGGAAGTATCTTTCAGCCCATATTTGCTCTCGCCTTTGGTGTCAGGTTTCCCTATGGGAATTTCTCTCTAACAGAGACTGACTTAGATTTCACGTTCCAACCTTACAAATGGCATAGTTTTTTCTTTGCAACACATAAATCTGTTTATATCGGGTGCTGCCACAGCTCTTAGAATAAAGTAGAGTTGCTGAGGTTTTTTGCCCTGTGGTACTGCCTAAATGTGTAGCGTGAGGTGGCCATACACTGATAGCACACATGCCTGGAATAGCTGCTCTGACCCTTTCCTTGTGATTTTTGCTTGAGTAGGAACTAGAACAAAAACAGATTAACCCTCCAGAAAGTTTCAATTTAGTGAAAACAAAAAGACCCACAATCACAAAATACCAACCAATCTTTTCCAAGACTTTGTCCTTTTCATTTCCCATCATCTTCTTTCTAGCAGGCATGCATTTCTGTGCAGAAAAAATAGTATACTGGCAGCTTTTTGCATGCTATGTGTACTGTTCCAGACTTGAGGCTGAGAGTGTTTACCTTGCAAATGATCATCTTTTTATGTCATAAAATTTTCTAGTGGTAAATAATGTCTATCAGGCAAGCTTCCTGCTTAGAATATTTAACTCTACTTCATTTCCCTGGCAGGAAATCTGGATTCTAAGAATATTTCAAAGCATGTTTTAATGGATGGTTGTGAAACATTTTCAATTTTAAGTTCTACTTACCTATATCAGGAGAACTGGTGGTTTTTTTTTTTTCAATAAAATTTTTCATTTTAAATTCATTCTTGCCTCAGAAACACATTATATTTTTGGTACATGATATACAGTAAGGAGAAATCATGCATATTTTATGTGCAACACATATTGAATTTGTAATATGTGTCTGATAATGACTTTGTACTAAGCTCCTATTACTCTACAGTCACAATGTAATTCCTGTCCTGAGCTAGACAGAGTCTGCTTTAGTGCAACTTACTTGCTTATACAGTTGTGGGAAACCTATAAATCTGATAGGACTCTCTGATGGGACTTTAATACACCAAGGAGAAAAATAATACATCATGATAAAATGAAATCCAATACTTGTTTTATTCTGGATGGTCATTGTCTTTTAGTGGTTAGAGACTTTGTTCAGGCTTACGTACATTCTGAGTATGCTTTGTTTTATCACAGAATCATAGAATTAAAGAATCGTAGATTCACAGAATGGCTTGGGCTGGAAGGAACATTAAAGACCATTTAACTTCAGCCTCTTTTCATAGGCAGGGCTGCCCCCCCACCAGCTCAGGCTCTCCAGGGCCCCATCCAGTCTGGCTTTGAATGCCTCCAGGGATGGGGTATCCACAGCTCTCTGGGCAGCTGTGCCAGGGCTGTACTGTCCCCTGAATAAAGAATTTCCTCCTAACATCTAACCTAAATCTCCCATCTATTCCTTCAAAGCCATTCCTTTGGATGGCGTCCCTTCCTTCTGCCATATCAACTGCACCGCTTAGCGCAGTCTACAAACTTGCTGAGGCTGCACTCAGTACAACTGTGGAAAGATGTTCTATCTCCAGTAAGACATACTATTTTAGATATATTTGGAAAATTTTTGACTAAACATGGGTTCACTTGGCAAAGAGAATTTTTTAACGATTTCAGCAGACTGAGTTGGTACAAGTGCTGCCATAAGGAGAACTAATTATTAGATTTGGAGGTTTATGTACGTATATTTATATATGTATCTATAAAAACATAAGGGAATAAATATAATGGACGCCTGATATCACTGTAAGTCCTGCATGAAATAAAAGCTTAGCAAGAGCAAGGAGGTAGAACAAGACTATGAGCAGCATCAGGAAAAATGAGAATGAGAGCTAGGAGTTATTCATTTTCCCACAAGATGGTTCTGACTTCCTGCCAGAAGGTCAGCATCTGATAAAGTATTTTACACTGGTCCCTTTCTTTTTTTTCCATGATCCTTTGGAAAGTGAAACATCTGGGCTTAAGCTGGTAGAGGACAGTCACAGATTTTGACTTCCACGTAACTCCACTGAGAGAGTGGTATATATAGCTAACATTTTCACTTGTTAAATAATAGACATAAAGTCTTTGTTAATGCTCTGCAATAAATAGTGGTGTCATTTTTATGGCACATTTTACAGCGAAAAAGGGAATCCTCTTATTTCAAAATAAAACATCAAAATATGATCTTATTAACATCTTCAAAGGGAGATTCAGTAACTCCTCTCTCTCTTTTCCCTCTCCTCTTCCCCTCAATTCGCAGCTTTTAGTAAACAAAAAGAAGCTCTCCATAGGAAACACATCTCATCCCTCATAGAAATCCGGCACAGCTGGACTACATTCCTGCCATGCAGGACAGCATGTTGCTGTATGTTAATTTTCTCTATTGCTGCAAGCACGCATTTAAACATTTCCCTCAATCAAAGCCTATGGTCTGGAAAACAGGCATAATTTTTACTGGCATCTCCTTCTTCTGAGACTTAGTAATCTGTTCAGGGACTGGCACACATCCGGGACCTCCTCCAAGCCACTTGCTTAGAAAATTGGAGCAAATGTATCCTGAGTAAGGAGATTTGAAAAGAGTTCCCTCTGGGATCCCCTCAAATGCATATAACTGGGTCTAGGCTTGAAGATGCTCTAGACTAATTCCAGGCATTCCTGGGCTACCAAAAAAGGAAGTCAAGAAATTGGTGCAGAATGGGAGGATCTCATGACTGTTACCTAAATATTGCTTCTGACATTTAAATGAATTAGTACAGTTCCCAGAAGATTAGGGTTCTGGTTCCTGAAGATATAAATGCTACTGCAATATTCTTGAATACCATCACCCCTCCTTTTTCTTTCCACACTTGCAGTATCTCTGGGCAGTCAGTCCTCCTCTGCAGCAACCTGCACATATCCTTCATCCTTCTAAGTATATAACTGCTAAGGGAAAAAGAAAATAGTTGGAAATAAGAGTCTGTGATTTGACTGGCAGTGACTGAATGAAGCAGTCACATACCTCTGTGTAGACTCAGGCAGCAGGAGCAAACTCTTGCACGTATATATCAATGCTGGACTTCACCTGGAGAATGAACAAATTATTTCTGTTTGTGTTGCAACTAATGTCAGAATAATCAGTAGATGAGATTGGAGGAACTGTCAGATCCCCTTACAAAAGCTAAAGAATGTCATCAGGTTATGGTAAATGAGATCATAATCACAATTTAAACTCAAAACTGTGATAGATGCGTTGGAAGCTGCCATTATTCCAGGTCTGAGTAGGAAATACACCCATGTATAAGTGTCTTCACATGAAAATTCCACATAACATACAAATAGCATTTTCATGCAGGGTAATATTGCTAGGTGATAAGCATAAAGCTTGTGTTACACCGCTCCTACCTGAAGGTAAGTAAATTTAATTTTTGAGTCTGAGATCTGTCAGCTGATCAGTGTATGAACTGTAATGTCATTGTCCATGTAACATTTTTTTGTTTTCTTCTTTGTTCTACCTCTCTAAAAAAAGAAAGAGGAAAGAAAGAAAGAAACAATAAACCACAAGTTGATGTGCATCAAAGCTAATGGATCTTGGTTTCCTACAGGTGTGCATCCCTCAGCAGCCTTTGGTATCTAATCAGAAGTTAAATTTGGCAACACTTTGTGTTTTCAGTGGGAACTCTTACAACTCTGTCCAGTTTTGTTGAAAATGGCCAAAGAGATCAAAGATTACAAGCAAGAAGAAATTCTTCTCAACTGTGTGAATACACAAATTTAATTTCTTCAGAAAATCAGAACAAAAATGGACTTTGATACCTTGATCCAGCCATCAAGTACCAATCAATCAGATAAAAGAACAATAGAAAAATGACCTCAAGAAAAATTCAAATGATTAATAAAATATTTAAAATTTGATTCTTCCTCAGTTTGAAAAGGTGAATTAATGAACACATCAATCAAACCCCTGAAATCCTGAAACCCTTCAATTTACTCTTATTGTAATTGCATGGCAGAAAAATAGCCTTCACCCAGAGATACACACTAAAATGTAATTAACCTCTTGTTTGTGTAAGAACTTTCTTGGGGAATTTCAGATGCTTATTTGGGGCTCTCAAGTGGTATTGAATCTTTAACAAAGACATCATTTTTCATCAGTGTTCATTTGTTACTGGAGTTAAATGGATGTTAAGAAAGGAAAAAATCTAGCTAAAAACATCTGCTTTTTGAGTTGTCAGATTTCTTTATTCTCTCAGGATGTAACTATTTGACTAGTTCTGCAGTTAACATGCTGTCCTCTAGGGTAGACAAGACCTGGATTTTTAGCATTATGCTACTTTAAAACAGGCAAAAATCTCTCTCTTAATTTGTTAAGGATGTTTCTTTGGCTTAGAAAATTCTTCAAGTCTTTCATAATTGGGTACACAAATACACAGAAACAACAAAGAAAAACCCTTATTTCCTTCTTTCCAGTTGATTTCTAAAGATCTTTAGCTCCAAAAATCTGTAGAGCCTTACATCTAACCCATTCTGTTTGTCTGGGGATGAAAGTAATCTATAAGATGGTGAAACAGACATTCAAAACAAATTCATGGAGGAAGTGAAGTACCTACAGAAGCCTTCACAGTTTTGTTACCCTAACATCAGTTGCATGAAAATCAATTAATTGATTGAGTTAATTGAGTTAAGTAATCTAATATTGATGAATCTTGAAGAAATTTGGGGGAGATAAATCAGTAGAGCTATAGTCTCCACTGTTTTAGAATCATATTGCATTCACAGGATGAGAAATGTTCTCTTACATGCTAATACAATTTGATTTTAGGTGTGGGATTATAAAATGGTGATAGTGACATGCACATACATTTATAAAGAGATCTACATATAAACACGTGATGTGTGTTAATAGCTCTAGTTTATAAATGCAATTGAATCTTAGCTTGAATATCTTGAGGGCTTATCACAAAGATGTTTTGAAAACTGTACAGGAGGCCCAGCCCACAGATCTGGAAATAATTCTTATTTGACTGTTAATGTGGTAATAACAGTACATATCAGGACAGATTTTATTATAGTATTTTGGGGATATAATTATAAAGGTGAAATATTTGGGTTGGAGTTACAGCATCACATCATGTGTTGTTAAATTACATCTGGTTATAATAATAATAATAACAATATATATATATACACACTACATATATATATAGTATTACTTTTCCTATTCTAATATAGAAACATAAATACTCAAGTTTCTGGAATCAAGCTCTGATGATGGAATCTTGTAAGATGAAAAAGGCACTTTCTTACTGCTGATCCACTAAGAGCATCACCTAGATGCAAAGAGTAAGGGAATGTTTACAGTAAATGCATACTAAGCGTACTTCTGAGCTGATACAAGAGGAGAGTCCATGGAGAACTGGTCTTCAGAGCATACATAGACTGCTGGAATGGGCCATGGGTCACCAGCCAGACAGCTGGAAAGATCTCCACCAGATCTTTCCACAGAGCATTAGCATGAACCCTAGCCTTGAACCTCTCTGATTCCAAAAAGGTCTTGACTTTGCAGAAGGTGACATACACAGAATACGATGTAGAGGCAGAACTGAGGTCAGCTGTGGGTGATCTCCAGCTCAGCTCTTCAGTGTTAGCCCAGATGTACCCATATCTATGCATTCTCATTCTGGGTTGGCAACCAACCAAGCACACCATCATGCAATGAGCATTGTTTCTATACCTTGGTTTCACACTGCTTGGATTGGAGTGACATTTGACCTTGGTTGTCAGAAAAAAAAAGACTGCTAGCAATTATTTAGAACCTAATTTTGCAAATTTCCCACTCAAGTGAATGAGGGCTAATTGGATGAGTAAAGATTTACAGGGTTGGTTGTCTATGATATAGCAACATAGAAAATCCACTTGTCTCCAGAATTTGATTTTCTTTTTTGGTTTCTTAGAGGCCTGCTAAACTGTGCTTTGCATTGTGCCTTATGTTTATTCATTGACATGCTGCATTACCTAAGCAGTACCTTAAATGTATGTCCTGAAAGGTGTAGCTAAAATATTGTGGTAGAACAGGAGTATTCTGTGAAGCAGAATACCTCTGGGTGGCCAGGCAAGTTATAATTTCTTAAATCTCTGTGAAAACATACATACCTCTTTATAATACAGTTCCTGTATACTGCTTTATGCATTCCTAAATGCACCAGGACTCTTTTCTGTTTGCTCACATAGGTCTCCAATTTTTGAAACGAGATCTGTAATGTATGAGCAAGCTGGAATTCAGTTGTTTTCATTCTCAGTTCCAGGTTTCATATCAGAGTTTCAGAGGATTAGGAAAGTGCCAAATGTTATATGGATAGCAAATTCTATAAAAGTATATCGCACGACTTGTTTCATTTCCCAGTTTTAAGACAAAATTTTCTTCTTTTTCTTTTATTCTAAGTGCTATTATATATCTCCAAATAGTGCATTGTTCTGTTTAATTTTAACTAATGAAACCTTCCCTAGTCAAAAGAAAGCTAATTGTCATTAATAGGTAAGCAGCACAGTTGCTTTAGTAATGCACTGAAGGAAATCCAGTTAGCTATGCTGAAAATGAAGATCAGCCTAATGCAGATGGAGCAGAGAACGATTTTGAGGAATCATTTTTCTTTAAAGTGTGGCACAATTCGTATGATCTTCTACCATAACTTATAGCATTAATAGAATCAATACATAATTCAATTTCCTGCTTTTTCTTCATGATTTTCCATATTTGATGTAACAATAAGTGACTGAATGTATATGACTGTGTGGATTCATCTCTTTAAGGTATTTGTGGAAGAGAACCTTTTTCTGCCACCCAAAGCTGTGGAAATTTTGACTTCTAGCGTACACTCGTTTGTTTTTAGGGCCACTTTACAGAGGCTGGTAAGACAGTGATAACTGCTCCATCTTTGAATGACTTAGAATTGCTCCAGTGCCACTGCTTCAATCCAACATAGAAATTTCTTTCTCCTCAAACAAGCAGAATTCGGCTTGGCATTACAATTAGCTGCTCTTTTATTCGCTGTCTCCTTTCCCCCAAGCACACAAAGCTGTTTGCATGTGCTATGGAGAGAGCGGTTTAATAAATCAAACAAAAGCACTGTTTTCTTCTTCATATTTTTCAAATAACCTCTGGGTAAACAAGGCTTTACTTTTTCTTTTCTTTTTTTTCTTTTCTTTTTTTTTTTTTTTTTTTCTTGAATCAGGTTCTTGTTTATGAGAAAATGAAATGTTCCCCCCAAATTACTAATGAATAATAAATTGTGTTCCTTGCAGTAGGTATATGACCCTGCAACATTAATTTCCGTTAGCTGTTTATGTCTCATTTTACTTTGTTATTTGCCTGTGGAGAGACTTTTTTTATATTTTATGCATTTTGAAAGAAATATTGTTTGTGTGAACATTTAATAAAAATTTGCTGTCTTTCTACCTGATATACAGTAAGGTTTCACTAAGAGGAAATAGGTCAGAATCTCTTTTTTTCATACTACAATTAATATCTAGATTAGCACATTGTATTTTTAACCTTCAGAATTTTCTTCATACAAAAGTAAATCTTAAGTTTTGTCATACCTTATAATTGCTCTGACAAAAACATTCACAGTGACATGAGTGGTGGCTTTGGCTACCAAGACAGATTTTCATAATAATGAGTTTTTTCCTGTAGGGGGCTGTGAACTGCTAATTAGCATCTATGACCCAATATTCTCAGCAAATAAGAGTAATAGCAGTAATTTCTAGCTTTATGCAGGGTGCAAGTCTAATATTACCAGCACTTCTGTTTCATTTGTAATTAACTGCAAGCAATTATTATGGAGTCAAGGAAGTATATCCTAATGCTCCTAGGTAATAAAAAAAAATTGAAATGATGTTTGTAAAACTCATATGTTTCATGCTGGGTGCACTGATTTCTTTTAGAGAATTGTGATTATGTGCCTATCAATTAAAAATTCTTCTTTAATGTTTCTTTACATTGATATGCTTTTGCATGTTGATGTATAACTATCTCATATTCAGTTTAATCTTTTCCTTTTTTAAAATGATATCCTTGAAATTTTAATTAATATTTTGACCGCAAGACCTCAGTTAATACTTAATCTGACTGCTCAATCTCAACATAAGATTTAGATGATACTGAAAGAAGTTGTTTACATTTGATTTTATGAGATCTGTAGTTCAGATCTATTAGAATCATGACCCACAAAACTAGTGACAGAGCAGCATGTGCTTGGATAGCATCACTGACTTTCCTAAGTAAGAATCAGAACTGCTGGTGTTTTTAATCAGGAAAATAATACATAAGACTTTCTCCAAATTGACTCGCTTTTCACTGGTTTTATTCATTTCCATGGCAGTGGGCACAGCTATGAAATAACAGCTCTAGGTGACAATTTCATAGATTCTGGAATGGTACTGTACCTCGTCTTTGCTTTGAACAACTCAGCATATAACAGACTTGGGTTGTTTACTCAGAAATATGATATTGAATACCAAGCTCTGTATAGAGGTGAGTATATAATCTTTTTCCTGTTTTTGACGAAGCTTCAGATATTGAGGCATCTTCTCCACTTGCAAAATGCACTACACTTTTAGGATCTATGGTGTTTAAACCATTTTAAATGTATGTAGATAAGATCAGATTTTTCAGAGTATAAAAGTTATGCTGCAGGTTGTGAGTGACTTATCATGGCCTCAGCTGAGACTCAGTTCAACTCTGTTCAGCATCGCTCAGAACTGTCATTCAAGAGATTTGGAAGGCAAGGAGCTTATATCTTTACAGAAGCCACAGACTGCAAACAAAGTTTCTCAAACTTTGTTTCATTCACAGTGTTAAAAAACA